AATAAACACTTACCAGGTAAGCATTTAGGTAAACGACCCCTTAGCCTTGTAGCAGGAAGCTTCCTTTTCAGCTGATCTGTTTTTGACAGGCTTTGATATGCATTTGGGTGCAAAGTGTCAAGGATTTTCATAGTTGTAGCAGATGGCTTTTTCTTTTCCTTTTGATGTATCAGCAAATGGTTTGATCATCTTTATCTTTTTCACAAAAGGTTTAGAACTCTCCCCTAGGTTTAAATCCACCACCTCTGGTGTACTTCTTGTATCTCTTAATCATCATTACCACTGAATCAGTAAGACCCTGGAGTTTCAGATCACCATTATCATCAACCTCACTTTCAGTTTTATCATCATCTTCTCTTTCAACTACCTGTCCATGGAGATTCATGTTTCTAAAGAGATCCATGTTTCTAAAGAGAGATTCATTATAAAACATTGCATTAAATGATTAGTAAGCTCGTTAGTCGGCATGTCAAATTGTACCTTCGTCCATATTGTCTTGTGGAGTCCGATTTCTTCAGCTGGAACATCATTAGATAATAATCCATCAGCTGATGGACCTTTAGGTGATGACATCTTCAGCTGTTGAGTTGGCCCAGATTAGGGTATCATTTGATGGGCAGGATCATCTATTGATGGGTATAAGTTGATGAAGGGTAGGCTTCCATCTGATATCTTCATCAGATGTGTTTGGTCACCTATTGATTTGGTGATGACCCAATGATCTATTCATCTATCCTATCAACACTAAGTAGTTATTGGTTTCTTGGTACATACTTAAAACCCTTGGCAAAATCGAAGACAAGCCGATGTGAAGACAAAAAGCTCACCAATGAGGTATTGTGGATCAACTGTCTAAATTACACACCAAGATTCTAAAGTAATTGATTTGAAGATTGAAGATGTTTTGAAGCTACTAGCCGAGATTGAAAGAAGATCTTCATGCACCGAGATTTGTTAGTAGCTGTTTGAAGCTACTAATCCATCCAAAGAAGATCCCCCTTACATACTGACCATATCTCTGCAAAACATGTACCTGATAAAGACATTTATTATCAGTAGGTTTGTCTTTGCATGAACAGTGTTGTATGCACGCAGTGTACGATGAAAATGATATATCAACTATGGACAAGTCAACCCATGTCTTCTTATCCTAAGGTGACAAGTGTGCCCATGCATTTAATGCATGAAGGTAGTATAAAAGGCAGATTGCATCTCCCATGCAAATACATTTCCCTGAAAGAATTTTTGAATGCATTCTCAAGACAATCGGCTCTCTTCTACTACTCTCTTATTCTCCTGTGTGTGAAGAAAACCTTAGTGTTCTTCATTTTCTTGCAAGTACCCTTTGCGTTGTTCTTGTAAGTTCTTCTATGTGCAAGATTGTTTAGGTTAGGTTATCATTTCCTTTTCCGCAACAATCTGTATTGTATCTTTGTGTGTTAATTCTTGATATACATCAATAAGAATTAAATAAATTGAAAAAATCTGTGTAATTGTATTCAACCCCCCTTCTATAATTACTTTCTGTTTATTCTCATCCGGGACCCACAAGATGTTCAACACTTATATATTGATCTTGAATGGGCAGCATCATTTGATAGTGTTGGTCCCGTAAGGGTCTACAAGAAGAGAAACAGTTTGTAGAAGGGGGGGATGAATACAAACACAGTATTTTCAAATTTAAAATATATATTGATATAGAAGATCAATACAGATTTTACAAGATTGTTTGCGGAAAGATAAGGTAATAAAAACATATCTAAACAATCTTTGGTTACACACAATGCTTTAGCAATTACAAGAAAAGAAGTTGCTAAAAGAAAGATCTTTTACTTAAGCTAGAAGATGCTTGAAGTAAGAATTAGGTTAGAGAGAGATGCGCACTCTCTGCATGGAGAAGAAACACTTCTATTTATACCCAGTGCATTAGATGTCCATTTAATGCAATATGGTAGGTTTAGAGTGCGTGTCAAGCCTTAAGAGGAAGGCTTGTTCTTTGCTACAGTGAATAGTACAAAAGCACTATTCAMGAGCAGACATCCTTACCTAAAGTTGGTGGACAAAGAGTCGACTAGTCGGCTCCGTACAGTACAACTTTTGTAAGGGTATGGGTTTTGTCCTTTGTGTGCAAAAGGACAAGACAACAACAATCGTGCTAAGCAAGCTTCCTTTGATCGCTGAATGCTGGAATGACCTGAAGGTCTCATCATCATTAGCTGAAGCTTGAGCAGTCTTCACACATATGTAAACAAGCTTGTAATCACTGAATACCGCTTCAGATCACGTACTCGCCAGTCTCTAATCTTCAGTTTCATTCTTTGATGTTTGCTGAAGGTTCTTTGGTGTGAGTGTTGTCTTCTTGAAGGATTGTTGTCTCCGATAGATTTACAATGCAAGTTCTTCAGCGATCACTGAACATACTTAGTGAAGATCGTCGGGACTGAAAATACAGAAACACAAATACAACATGAAAGAAAAAAGGGATTATCATCAAATCACTGAGAGAGATGATCAACAATGCGTTAACTCTTGTTTTCATCTGATAGACTTCATCTGGTCATCTGCCAATAGAGTTGTTCTATCACCTATTCAGTGGCAAATGATCTATCAATGATCGATATCACTGAAGTGCCTCTAATTGACAAGTTCTTTGTTTTCCCAAATGACTACGTGTTTTCTTATAATGTTTGTCATCAAACAAATTTTTTAAACTGACATGAGTTCAATAATTAAAGTATGCAAAAAAAAATCCACCTTTTTTTGTTGTATTAATTAAACAATGAATTTTCTTACCGGGTTAATTGTTACATACAATGTCGTTTTGATGGACTAAAATCTTATCCGGTAAGTAAATAATAGTGTTACATTTTAGTGGTAAGCATTTACCGAGTAAGTGTTTGGTAAACGGCCCCTTAATAAAGAATTTGGATTTCTTAGAATGACATTAAGGTTATTAATAGGACATTTTTGTCATTTTGATCAATATAGAAGGAGAATTTAGGTAGAATGGATTTGTGAGGTTAATTAAGTATGGTAATTAACTTTTAAGTAATAACAGGCTAAGATGTATAGGCTCATAGATAGTGCAACGTAGGGCGGGAGCGAGGGCGTTAGACAGGTTGAGATCGGACTTTGAGAGAGGTTGGAGAGTTGTCAAAAACGTTATTGATGCTCTACGTTAGACGAGGAGTTGTATAGCGTCTTGTCCTTCTTTTATGTTGCACGATGCTCACTTCTTTTTATATAATGATTACTTAACTCGGTCTTATTTCTTTCCTTTTTTAAATCGTTTCAGTCATTTCAAAAAAAAGTCCAAAGCATTTTCCCACATCTTTTCCTAGGTCGGGGTCTTCAATATTTTTTTTGATTAACCTGGATATCCAACCCGCTATGCGAGCCGACTAATCCCAGGGCGACCACCTGCTTTGCATATAGCCCGGAGTCACCGCATTTGAACCTCCGTGGCCACAAGGGAATGTTTATTCCTCCTTGGATTTGAACCTGAGACATCCTAGTACTTTTGATCTTTGGAGTCAAACTCAAACCAATCAGGCACCACCCTTGTGGTTGGTCTTCAATATTTGCAATAGACGACAAGACTACGTACATCTTATCCTCCATAGACCCTGCCTACAAGTGGGATGGATATGTTGAGCTAGTTTAGTTACGCTTGGATTGGTTAGAGTTAGATAAATTGCCAGGTTAAGAACTCGAATGAGTTGTTTTTCTTTTTTGTTAACCGGGAGTGTCTTGGCCAGCTTTATTGCACCTCAGCTAGTCTTATGGGGTCTTGGAGAACAACCTATAAAATTAACACGAACCAGTGACTCATGAGTAGGAGCTCAAAAGACTCGAGATTTATCACGAGTGAGCTAATGAGTCTATTTAGCAATGTCTAGGCAAATGTGAAACCAACCAATCGATTTGGTATGCTTTGAAAATATGTAATCGTTAACTTGTAGAAAGATGTCAGTAAATGTTGTTTTGAGAATCAGTGACATTTGGCGTTGTATGAAAACTATATTACTTACTGTAACCCATTATATTATATAAAACCAAACAGTTTCTTTTTCTAGCATTTTTATTGAATGTTGCTTAATACCTCTAACTAAATGCAAGTTAGTAGTCGTCCAAAAGAAACAGTGCAGGAAGAATCGAAAGATTCAATGATTAAAATGTGTAGAAGTTGAAGTGCAAGGATAGATTAAGAAATTAGTTGGTGATTTAATAATTATTACGATATTGATATTGATTCATTTTCAGTAGTTAATCTTTTATTTCTAGTGTGTTGTAACTTGTAAGAATTCAATATTCGGATGATTATTTGTGCTATATTTGGTTAGAATTTAGTAATAACTTATTCATATGTGAATCTGTGGAAAACCGAAAAGAAATCCATTTGAAAATGCATACATGAGCTCACGTCCACTTACATATTTCTTTTACCAATTATTCACATTTGAAGATGCATATGTGAACCCACATTTCCTTTTACCAATAAGTCATATATGAATAATGTATTCTTACGTTCTAACCTTTTGCCTTTCTTCATTGAGCTTCTTTGTATATAATTATATATATACAATGAGACTTGATCTCTTTACCGAGAAGATGGGATTATCAGGTATTGTTGCGCCACTATAACCTTTTGGTAGTTTGAACATATATCCGAAGCCAAATTTCACATAAAAAATCTCCAAAATCTCTTTTTTCTCTTGTATCATAGCAAATTCATTGGAGATGCTCTAACAAAGCCCGTGCAACCACTTAACGGGGATTTTTCGATATGGGCCAAAAGCATATGAATTAACTTCAAGATTCATAAGGATGCAACAACGGTAGCAAGCAACCTCACCACTTCATTCAGGGAGCCAAAATGAACCTGCTCTTATTCTCCAGTAACTAAAAAATGGTTACCAACTCTAAGATGCAGAGAACAACCAAAAGAACCAAAATTTGAATTAAATATGTATGGAAAAGAGACTTTATAATTGTCTTTTTCAGGCATTTGAGGACGCTTCGGTCGTTGCAGGTTCCGTTGGCTTCTCGATTGGAGCCAAAACTTCAGTGTCGGTAGTAGCTTGTGAACCAACCTTGTGCTTAGAATCATCTTTTGCTTCTTTCCCATTCTTGGCATTCTTTTCATCTTTGCCATCTTTTGTATCGGTTTCAGGTTGAGATGGTGGTGGTATCATGTGAGAAGGAGGATTTTGCTTCAACTTCAGGCAGAGATATCGCATTCTTGAAAGATCGGTAGGTTTCCCAGGCTTTGGACCCTGAATCACAACAATCCCAGGTTTCTTTTCGTCTTCTTTATCCTTTCGTGCTCTTCGTTTATTGATGTTTGCAACCTCACGGGGTATGAGATCCGCTATTGCTTTCCAATATTGTTTATCGGCTTCCTTGTGAAACTTCTCTTGTTTGATCAAGTACAGCTGTGACCAAAATTGTCGATATAATGATTGGCTTGGCATTTTGAACCATCACAATCGTTAGCATTTTGAACCATCACAATCGGATGTCTATTACAAACTAACCATCGGTTGTTTTTGTCCAAAATTGCTTGTTCATCATGCAGAGTGCATCATTTGTTTCGCATTTTTGCAAGAACAACTATTTGTTTGAAAATAAGCATGTTGGTTCGGGGTTCAATCACTGAATTATGAAAGAAATATAAGATTTAAGTCGAAAAGACTCACCTTTTCGCGTTCTCTGTTGAGAGCCTTGTTGTTCTCCCTATTCTTTTGCCTTTTCTCGTTGAAAGCACGTTTGAATTCATCCGCTTCAGCAATTATCTGATTTCGCATTTCCTTCTCCTTCTTTTCCTTCTCTTCAAGATAAATGGCATTTTGGCTGCACACATGAAGTCATGATTATTCCATAAGTTGCTACACAACATCAGTTATGGCTAGGAACAGATCATGCAAGTAAACTACAATGTCGATGGCAATGATACACGGTGAGGGCTAACTCAAATGCGAAATAAAATAACTTGGTGAACACTGAACAGCCTCGAAGCTAAAAACCAACTCACGAATTCAAAGAATTGAATACCAAAATGTGACGGTTTGTTTCAGTTCCTATTTAGCGTAATGATGAATTTTTTTTTTCTCAATCAATGTCACAAACGTTCAATTCTTCCTATTTCATATCCATTTACCTCATAGACGGGTTTTCAACCTGCATGGCATCGGCTAACTTTGATGTCATATTTTTCCACATAATCAAGATTTACAACATAACCTCACTACCTGGCATCCACATCACCAGTAAAAGCTGGTATGATATAGGAAGAATTGAACGTTTATTACACTAATCAACACAAATATATTCATCGTTACACTAAATAGGTACCGAGGCAACCTTTGTTGCCTGTTTGGCCAATTATACGCCGTTAACAACATTAATGGATTGAATTTATTTGCTACTCTTGACAGTACATATTAGTCTATATTTCCTTCGAGCTGATCCTAATTCTATATCATTTAACACACACATACACACACATATATATATATATACACACATCTATAGGAAATGAAATTGGTAATTAGTCCTATCATCTAAGGGTTTGAACTAGATTCACATAAATTTTACGGCCACATATGTTTAACGAAACTCATATGCTTCAATTTATCAATCGATGAGCTAGATGACCAGCAACAACGGATACTTGCTATTTCTAGTCATAAAACCAGTATTCCTTTGAAGCTTTGGCATTTTAGAAAGAACAAAAGCAGACCCATCAGGCATCGACATCTAGAATTGGTGTTTTTAGATGCTAATGACTATAAATTAGCAATCAATCATATCACACATACAATTACAATAGTTGCAGAAAATAAAAATCCAAACAGAGTTGCATAGTTCAACAACTTGTCACATCCACAATTGTCACTAGATTCTTATGATATTTCATAGATTTCGGTAGTGCATACAAGAAAGAATGGATGGGACACGAAAAGTTGGCATCCTAATATGCTCTTAAATGGTGCTAAAATACAAGAATCCCATGGACCAAAATGAATACTATCAGTGAAATATATATGAGATTCATGCATAAAACAGACATATCCATACTTGTGCAATTACATTACACATAGTGATTGCATAAAACCACTGTCACGCCATGTCATACAGTTCTTATCATGGGTCGCCACTCGCCAACGCACATGGTTAGATCGAACTATGAATATGTATGTACCCATAAAACGTTTATAGAAAACTATATTGGATAAAAAAATCATAGCAATCCCAATAATGAGATGTAAGCAGACTTGACCTCCTGTAGTTATTAACACTACCATTAAGTCATTGTTTGCTATACAGAAAGGCTGGAAACACTTATCATCCTGATCAGAAGAACACCAATTTGTTATTGAAAGCATATCCTTGTTGAACAAAGGTTTGTTGAACGCTGAACAAATTAGCAAAATAGATTGACATAGAATTAGCAGATAGGGATCTACATGATCAATGATATGATCGCAATGGAGACAAGCATGTGTGCAATCATGCATATTTTCCAACACGATTGATGGAACTGTAAGCAATGAAATGATGAGATCAGATAAGAAATTACCGACGCCACTCGCGAAACGCAGCCCCTTCCTCGCGCATCTGGCTAGGGTCAGGAAGCAGAGGGCCGCCCCCGTCGCCATTTCCAGCAGATATGAAGATGCCTTCAGCATCAGTTCCTAAGTCGTACGGCTTTGAATTATCGTTTGAAGAGAATCCCCCGTAGTTTTCCTGAGAATACATCCTTTCATCTTGATGGTAGCTTGGGGGAGGAGGAACGTCGTGTACGGCGTTAAGGTCATCGGAAATTGAATCTTCAAACCCGTAGTTTTGGCCCATGTTGTAGCCTCCTATGTAATCACCATTGTCTTGAAAGGGATGCGATGTTGCAGCCTGAACATCCCCTCCTCCACCCATACCGAATGCGCCATTGAAATCCTCCATTTTCTGATCTCTCTCTCTCTCTCTCTCTCTCTTTGACGATGAAAGAGGTGGCAACATTACAGGATACCAAAACCATGGCGTATGATGTTGGTTGAATTACATAACTGGTCCTTAGTCTTTTTTGAAATGCCAATCTCGCTTTTAAAGTTATGTATTTGGCAAAATCGGTCCTCATTTTTACACGAAATCTTTCCTACCAAGTATTTTTTGGGTAACTGTGATATCCCTGTCATCTTATGTGCACCGACTAATCACTCAGGCAACCACAAATGACATGTAGTTGTTGCAGGTGAACCTACATGGCCATAATATCATGGGTAGAGCCTAGATTTGAACCGAGGCAAGATAAGATTTCCACTACATCACCATGAGCCTTAACTAGTGTGCGACAATCCAAGTGGTAGAATCTGCACAACTTCTCTAGATCATATTCATTTGAACCAAGTAACAGAGAAAAATTAGGTTTGATTAGATTTAGGCTTGAATTCTTTTGAAGCTCTTCGTTACTTTCTGCATAAATCATACTAACACAAAAACCTATGCAAGCACAACATTGTGTTATATTTAGAATTGTAGAAGCAATCTTTAGTTTTTTTTTTCTTTTTGATTAATCTGGATATCCAACCCATTATGCAAGCCGATTAATTCCAGGGCGATCGCCCACTTCGCAGGTAATCCAGAGTCATTGCTTTTCAACTTTCGTGGTCACAAAGGGATTTTTATTCAATCAAGGTGACGTGAAGATATAGAAAGTTCGATCAAAAGATAATACAATAGACTCTCTGACCAAGCCTATGAGTCAAAGCAAACATTATGCTCATAATAGTTCAATAGGCTTGAGGTTTTGTAATATATTAGTATGATCTGTATTTTAGTAAACTGTAAATTATTTGAATAATAAAACAGTTTTGTTTCTATATGTTTTATCATATTGGATATGAGTATTTACATTAAACATTTATATGTTCATTATTAGCATGTTTAATTATCATTAAATAAATACGATGATCATATTATTTAAAACTGTCTTTGATCAATTATTACCAGGAGCTGGTAATAAATAAAAAATTTTGTGAAGTTTGTTCATAGTCCAAGTTGGAAGTGCTCTTGATGTAACCAAAGCCACATGCGCTTGTACGAGCAACAAGTGTTGAATAAGACTCACAGTCAGGATCACCTCACAGAACGACGTCATAAGGTGAGTCCTGAAATGGTGGACACTTTTATTCTCAAACCTGATATATGAATTGGAACCTAACGCATAAGGAGTATTATACTTTGATATAGTCTAACGTTACCCTTAATCAGATAATCATAATTGCTATATTGGGTATAGCATGAATTGTGTATAATTCATGTACATGAAATATGGGATTTACTCCTTTCAAGTTGAGAGAGATATTTTTTGGCCCCTCGATGACAGTTTGATCCACATGGTCATAGACAAGCGAATTAGTCGAACTAATAACACTTGTCTAAATCTAATATATTGGGCTCGAGAAACATAATCTTTAAACTATAAAGAGTGAGATAAATATATGCCTTAAGTTCAAACAAAATATCGTGAAGAAAAAAGATAAGGAAGGATACCACCATATGATTGATTGGATCAATCAGATTGCTCAAAGCAAAGGCACATTTACATAGCTACACGTTTGCCACCATCTGTGTTACTATGTATCGTGTACAAGTGAGAGAACGTAAGTTATTATATGTCAACGACACATGTCACACAGGGATACAGTTGAGAAGTATGTAAAGCTACAGTGTCACACACAAAGAATATGTTTGCTTCAATTTGTAGAAACTCAAATAAATCAAGGTGATTATGGAAATAATTATTCTTGGAAGATAATTATGAAAATATGTGTTATAATTGTCATTATGATAATTACAAGGTATTATTTGTAGATATGTATAATTATATTAACGTTTAAGATAATTATATAATTATTACAGATAAGCACTAAACCTTACTTGAGTTACAGACCAACTGAAAGGCAGTCCATATAAATAGGTGATAGAATAAATCAATTCTGACTGACTTAATCAATTAAATTTATCTTTTAAAAATTATACAAAAAAGAAACTTTTTCTTTTCTATAATACACATATAGATCTAGGGTTCTTAGGCTAGCACCCTCTGAGAGATCGTGCGTTCGTGTATGAATCACGAATAGCGAAACCTGTTTTGGTTTCTAAGTGTCGTGTCGTTTCCCCTCCAAATTCTGAAAGATATAATTCTAAACACCGTATGGCGTATGAATTTTGTTAAATGCATCATTGGATCTGATTGGGTTTTAATTAGAAACGTTTTCTGATTTACTATTTGTAACCAAAATATTAATTTTCGGCTATGTAAAACGGTTACAAAATTACATTAAAACCCAACAATACAGTTATCTCATCTTCCAGGTACAGATTTTTATAATTCTATGACTCGTAGATAACCTATTGAAATGGTTATCTAATGCGTGGTTCATGATACACCAAAATACACCTATGAGTTATGTGTCAATATGAAATTGTGCATGATCAATCCCAATTGTTATGAAGTTCTCTAGGATTTCATCGTGGTTTGCTTGGCATCCTTTCTTGATTTAAGATTTTATGATTGGTTACTTATTCGTATATTATCTATTATCATGTTTTCCTAATTGGTGTTTATTTGAAATACTTGATTTTACACGATTATGGATTCGATGAACTTGACTATTTGATGAACATTGTTGCCACACTTCATGGTTTCCCCTTTGTTTATATGTTTCAGAACACCCGACCAATGGGGAACCATAATCGGAATTGCTTCCATGGTGGCTATACTATCATGGTGTCCTCACTCCGATTAGGTTCCTTAAGTGGACTTGGCCTGGTACCAGTCATTCAGAGGGCGCACGGATCGATCCTAAAGTTACTTTTCCATATTTCAGGTCGTGAACATTTCATAGAGGGGACTAGATAGTCGTGTGTTCGCACCTCTACCCTTATCTGTCTAAGTGGATTTGGTCAATCATTGAACAACACATCTTTACGATGCGTTTGGTTCGCGTGATTCTTGGTTTTTTCTTCGGGTGTAGATCCCATTTGTTATGTGACATTTGAATATCATACTAATTGAACTTGATTTTGATTATATAATTCTTTCTGCTCTTGGTTTTATTTAAGTTCATTTTACTGTTTATTATAGATTATCTTTAATTTGTTCACTGAGCATGTCACTCAGCTGAGCAGTATGTTGGGGATGGGATTGAGAGCTGAGCATGATTCTTTCAAAGTGACATCTTGGAGACATAGTTTATAACTTGATCTTTTATTTTTGTATATAGTATGTTGTAAACTTTTGTTGACTCTCTGAGGTTGTGTAATGTATATATATAAAGGATTTGGACATGCTCTCTAAATTATGATAGGGATGTTACCTTTTATGGTATCAGTTCATCAAATCCATAACTGTGTGAAATCTAGTATTACAAATAAACACCAAACTGGAAGACATGATAATGGATAAAATCCGAAATATATAACCGTTCATGAAATTTTAAATCAAGAAAGGATATCAAGCAAACCACAATGAAATCCAAGAGAGCTTCATAACAATTGGGATTGATCACTAGCAATTTCATATTGATACCTACCTCTTAGGTGTATTGTGGTGTACCACGAACCAAAGATTAGATAACCTTTTCAATAGGTTATCCACGAGGCAAAGCATTATACAAATCCGTACAATGGGGCATCATAACATCCTCATTCCAATTAGGTTCCTTAAGTGGATCTAGCTTGATACTGGTGATCTATAGGGCGTATGGATTGTGTTAGACCCCATCACTCATACTTGTAAAAGTAATGAAAAACATAACAAGTGTGAAAGAGCAGAAGGCCGATGGAAGACTCTCAAGCAAAAAGTCTAAGTACCAAATACAACCAGAGGTGCGATGAACTGCGCATCTCCATAATCCCTCTGGTTACCAACACTTAGAGTTTTCCACAACAGTTCAACCAGAGGTACTCGATCAAGAAGACCACAAGACTCATGGTTGAACACGTCATCAAGAAGACAGCTAGAGATGGCAAATCGATAGCTGGAATCTCCATTTCTTACTCATCTTTATTTACTTTCCATCATTCTAGATTGTTTTCCTTTCATAAGAGATTTGTGATGTATCTTCCATAGATAGCAATCTCCCTAATTAGATTATTAGTATAAATAGGCTTTATCATTCTTGTAATCGTTTACGCTTTCCAATCAATCATTTGAATAATAGTGAATCATTTGATACCCAAACTTATTCTTGAATATTCTTATGTGTTCTTCACTATTTTCCATCCACACGATATATTTAGGTTATTCATAACTTGAATATTCGTGTTATTGAGAGATCTGGGATCAACAGATCGATCCCATAGTTAGTTTACCCATATTTAGGTCATGAACATCTCACAGAGGGGACTAGATAGTCATGTGCCTTCACCTTTACCCCCATCCGTCTGAGCAGATTTGGTTATCCATCAGATAACGCGTCTTTGTAATGTTGTTTGGTTTGTATGATTCTTGGTTTGTTTTCATTCATATATTAGATCTCACTTGTTATGCGGCATTTGAATTTCATAGTAATTGAGCCTTGATTTTGATTATACGATTCTTTCCGGTCTTTGTTTTATTTAAGTTCATTTTAGTGTTTACTTGGATTATCTTTAGTCCATTTAGTGAACATTTCGTTCAACCGTGTGTTTCTTTTTCTATGCATGACTGGTTAATAGCAGTTACGTTGGGGATAAGATTGAGAGCCTAGCATGTTTCTTTTGATGTGACACCTTGGAGACATAATTTATAACTTGATCTTGTATTTTTGTATGTATTATGTTGTAATCTTTTGTTCTCTTCGAGGTTGTGTAAGATATATACATACATACATATATATACATACATATATATATATATATATATATATGCATATATATATAAATGATTTAGGCATGCTTTGCGAATTATAATCGAG